GCATCCAAGAGCTGACAGGTTGGCAAGATAATCAATAGAAGAGACAGCAGATGATTATCAGGGGTGTAGAAGGCAAAGGTTATCACTATGTGTTTAACTTCTATTTAACTTTCATGGGACCTGTATGAAAAATGGTGAGTATGAAAAAATTTGCTGTGAAGTGCAGAACTAATTAATCTATTACCATATTCTATTCTAATACATTTGAACAAGGCACCTACTCCCTTTGTAAAAGCCATGCATCCAATTCTAGCAAGCTGTTTTCCCCCTTACAATGTGAAAAAAATTTTTTTCTAGTATGCTGAAAATTAAATTGGCCATGTGTACAAAAAAAAAGACAATAAAGGCCTATGGCACTAAAAACTCATTAAGATTTTTTTTCAGTGGCAGTGCACAAAATATTATAAAATAATGTGAAATTCAAATATTCTTAAATAATCAAAAACTAAATGAGATGGAATAGACTCTTTCAGTACCAGAGTTATGTGTCTTCCAGAAATCCTCTGTTAAAGTTATATTTATAACCAGATTTGCTGGCATAAGTTGATCTAGGATATAGAGGATAATTTGTAGAATGTTCAAGTCATAAGAAATATAAAACTATGTTATCTCTCACGAAAGACTTATGACATTCAGAATATTGTCTTAAACAGTTAACTATCACTAGAGAATCTTCAAAAGAACATTTTTCTTCTTTGGTGTCTCTAACTCAAGCGGTAAAAGCCCTAATGCGCCTCAGCCACAGTTATTTGGCTAGTTAAAATGCTTAGCTTGGTGAATGATTTGGGAGTGGTAATATGATTAGAAGCCAGCATTTTTTTTTCCTATTAACATTCAAAGTTTAGCATTAGGGTCATCGATCTGATTTATTAAATTCCCTGATGGTAAAACCCAAGGCAAATCTACCTGACATGCAGTATTGGCCTTATTCTTAGGCAGAGTCAATTTTTGCTACTATGAAATAATTTTAAGTTAAGATGTTATTCTTGCTAAAATAGAAGTGCCCCTCAGGCCTGTGAGTTTAAAAGTTTATCAGTTTCTAGCTAACATTGATCAGTTTTTGATTTGGGGGGATGTCTGAGGTCTAAGCGTGGAATGCAGAGAAGAAAGGTCTCTTTGGAGACTAAAGTGGACATCTGTTGTTCTGCATCCAGAATCCACCATTTACCTTCTGGTCACAGCCCCCCAGCCTCCCTTTTGGGGATTTGCCCTCTTCCATCGCCTGTGGTCCTGATGGAAGTGCCCAGCAGGATATCTCACCCTCCTCGGGTCCAGGATGGCCATAGGACACTAGCCAGGATAATAGACTGTCTTGGAATTCAAATATTGAGACCATGACAATGATGATGGTGGTAACTGTGATAATAATAATAAATGATTGGGGATTGATTCATCCCAGTGCTGGCATGCTGAAAAGACATGAGTTCTTGCCATTTAGATTCCTAGAGCTACTCATAGCTTTCCCAGGCCTATTTTCTCTACATACCTTTTGGTTTTAGTTGCTACCCTAAAGGTAGTTTTTGGAAGGGTGTCCTACTCTTCCAAGGATAGGATATCCTTCCAATAAATTGTTTTCATTAAAAGTAGCCACAGTTGTTTCTGCTGCTAGAAAGGGTAGTAGGACATGCCAACCCAAAATATGCTGCTTTGGTATATTGATTATTTTGACCTGTAGGCACTTGAAATGAAAACCAGCAAATGCAGTGAGAGGCTTTCTCTGAACTCCCTTTATCTTCTTAAAGATAGATCCTCCAAAAGGAACTCAATTGTCGCAATCCCTTCCCTAGGAGTTTCACGAACCAGGGAAGACTGACTCATTGCAGGAGAGGAGACTAGAAGTGGACACCACACCCACACACACCTTCATCACAAACTATCATACCTCCCCTCTATTCTTCTAAGGGCCCATCCATCCTCCCTAAAAATCATTCACTCCCCCCCTAAGAGGCCTACATCTCCCCTCTTCTTTCCTTATTAAGGCTGTGTTTAAGTCTGAATTCTAAGCCACCTTGAAGTTACTTATTTTTCCCTGGGTATCTCCCATGTGTACATGAGGTGTACATATTAATAAACTTTTTCTCTTGTTAATCTGTCTTTTGTTATAGGGGCTTCAGCTTAGAACTCAGAAGGGTAGAAGGAAAATTATGCTTCCTCCCCTACACTTGCAACAAAGATTCCTAACCAGCACAGATATTCCTAAGGAGATGTAGAAAGTGAGGGTCCCTGGGAGACTTGGAATAAGCTCTATCCAGAAAGGGACACGGGCACACAATGAGGAGGCTAACGACAGACAAATACAACCTTCAGCTTTGTACAGACTAGTCTACTTTTGATAAAGGAAAGTGGCCCCCAAAACTTAGACTTCTGCTTTTCACAGAGTTCAGTGCCCTCTATAAATTCTAAAACCATTTGCAAAGTCTACCGAGGAAACTATATGTTTTCTCAGAGTCCTTGAAAGCCCCAGATAAAATGAGGTTCGGCCTTTGTTCAGAATTTCCCAACTATGGAAGTCTAGTGGCAGGAAGGGGATGGAACAAAAGACTTAATCTTCCCATTTCCGTGTTCTCCCAATGTCATTGGATTTGTACCTTCACTGTCCTGTGGCCAGGAAAATGACCCAGCTAAAAACTTGTGAGTGTAGATCAGTAACTCCTGGACTTTCGATTTCACATGCCAGTAAACTTTTAAGAAAACATCAGACTGACTTAGGGTTGTTACTTTTTTGATATTAAAGTAGGAAAAAAATGACCAAATATTATTACCACTGATATTTAAAAAAAAAATAAATTTAAAGATCAAAAAGCAGTGCATTTACACACACACAAAAGCAATTAGGTGAATTTTAGGAAAAACCCAGTTTATATTGTCCTTATTTTCCTCAGTTGGCTGTGTGAAAAATAGGCCCTGGTCCAGAAATAGGCTTCTGAGGAGCTCCTGGAGGAAGAGGTTAGACCCCTTGTGGAGAGTTGGAGGATCTACCCAGCTCTGGGGTTCTGCTTTCCAGGCTCACCTTTCTGGAGGCTGATCACAAATACACTCACTGCTGGGGCACCTGGGTGGCTCAGTCATTAAGCGTCTGCGTTTGGCTCAGGTCATGATCCCAGGGTCCTGGGATTGAGCCCCACATAGGGTTCCCTGCTTTGCAGGAAGCCTGCTTCTCCCTTCCCCACTCCCCTTGCTTGTGTTCCCTCTCTCACTCTGTCTCTCTCTGTCAAATAAATAAATAAAATCTTAAAAAAAAAAAATACACTCACTGGGACAATGGCTGAGCCCAATTTTGTTCATGTATACATATAAACACACTGAGCTGATGAGGGCCTGAACTGGTTTTGTGTTGTTAACAGAAACCTCCATACCCAAAGGCAAAACCAAAAGCATGTTACAATACCCTGGGGCCCAGCTGGAGAGCCCCTGAGAACCTCTCTCACAATTCCCTCCCTTTCCCAGCCTCCTCCCAGACTCTGGTCTCATTTCTTTTTTATGCCTGAACTCCACCTCTCTGCTCAATATGGCCACTCAGGTGTTGACTCCCTGGCTCTATCCCCAGGGACCATGGCCCTACCTACCTACCCCTGGTAGACCTCTAGCCACGTCTGTCCCACCCTTGACTTCAATCTAAGTTCCAGGAACCTCTGCCCACATATAGTATCCCCAGGCCTGCCTTTTCCAGGAGGTATTTGATACAACTACTTTGATCCCTTTTGGGAGTGACAGACCGTGAGCTCAATATGACCATGTTATCACCATGCACTACCATGCACTACTGTATGCTAGCGTAGATCAGCAAACCTTGAAATACGGCATATGGTCTCTGAATTCTTTTCTTAAGGTGGTCAGAAGGGAGAAAAATTGCTAGGCAGTAGGAGGTCAGACAAGTAAGAGAACAGGATGCACCAGCAGCTTTGCATGCAAGAGTAATGGCAGACTCATGCTGGTTGCACACTGCTGTAGGTCAACCCAAGGAATCATGTACAAGTAGAAGAGAAGGGTCAACGGCAGCAGAAACTAGTATATATATATATATTTTACTGAAAACCAATCCTCTTATCAACATTTGTTCAGGTTCATGGGTTGCCAATGTTAAATGTTAATGTTAGAGCAATTAGAATTAAATAGTCCATATTATCTTAAACATGTGCTATGATCTATATCAGCCATCTTAAAGCAAATTATTCTGCAGTAATAAATTATCCCTAAATCTCTGTGGCTGACAACAACAGCGGTTTGCTTCTGCTCATGGTCCGTGCTTATCACAGGTTGGCCGTGGCTCTGCTCCACAGGTCCTCACTTCAGTGCTCGGACTCATGGAGCAGCCCCTACGTGGGGTTCATATACCTTGCACATCATAAGTACTATCCTTTGTGGGATAGTACTGGCCTCATGGCAGAGGGAAAGACAACATGGCAGAATCATATGATGCCTCTTAAAGCTCATGCTGAGAATTGATGTGAGACATTTTCACTCACATTTCACGGGCAGGTCACATGGCAAAACAATGTCAGTGAATAGGGAAGCAGAATCCTCCCACAGGAAGGGTCAATGAATGTTTTAGGTAATCATACAATATCCCCCGTGAGTACTCTATTTTATCTTTCTCATTAGATATCTCCTGAGAAGTACAAGTGCCAACAGTCTTTAAAAATCCTATTTCTCTGGAATTAAAAAAGAACACAATGTAGAGACCAGAGTCTTCAGAACTCCTTAAGATTTCAGATCTTTCCCAGTTAAAATGCCAATCCTTCAGGGCTCCTGTGTTCTGCAGGGGAGCCTGCTTACAAAATGGCAGGCATGCTCACATATCTGTCAGTGTTTAGAGTGGATAATGCAAGCACAGCATTTCACAACAACCCTGGTGGCTGAGTTGCAAAATTATTTATGGCTTTACCATTTATGACATGCTGCTCAGTTTCCCATGAGTTGCTAGGAAAGATTCCTGATAGCTACTATGAGCCATTGAAACCTATGAGACTTCATTTATTATGGCATAATATACACATTACCTCACTTGTGTTAGACCATATGGAGAGCTCTCTGTTGAATTTGGCGTAGTTACTGGGGTGAAACGGGAATGGATTCTGTTCCTTGTCCTCTTCAATTATGCTGTATGTTGGATCAGGCAGCCAACTTCAACAGATCATCTGGGCATAGCAATCAGTCCTCAGGACAACATCACTGCCATCACCTATGCCAATGAAGAATAATAAATGTGATATTGAAGAGTGTCTGAGTGACAGGGAACAGCAAAATCTCAAGAGTGGATCAATAGGACTCCCTGTTGGTATTTAGCTCCTGTTTGGAAGTGGATGGAGAAGCAGGGTACCCATTTGTCACTCATTGTAGGGTGGCATTTGGAAGGAGAGGCAAGAAGCTCAAAAGAACCTGAAAAGCACAGCCAGTTCTGAGTACAAATGAGCAACTAGCAACAACTCCTTAAATGGAGAAATGTGCCCCTGGGGGGAAGCCACAGTCCACGATCTGCCATATGCCTATTTGCCTCTCGCTTAAAAGGGGAACAAATGAACACTTGGACTCTGTGGGCACCGCGGGACAGAATGTTAATCCCTATAATGTAGATATGAGGGGGACATGACCAATATACGGTTATTTCCATGTACCTTTTGTCATTCTGGGGCCTGTTTATATGATATGAGGTAAAGACTCGGTGTGTTCTCTTGAATACAGGATTGGAAAAGCCTCCTTTGGTGGGAGGCTTTTCCTATTTGGATGGCAGGATGGTAGTGGGCAACACTGACCTATTAGGAAGTCTCGGGCATTTTTCTAATCCTTATCATAAATTCACCTCAGATAGAACCACCCAATTAAAATTGGTGTGAAAAGTCACATGATAGCCTCCGAAAATCATCCTAATAGTTTTCTCCTTTTATAATTACAATTTTAAGAATTTTTCTACAATTTCCCTGTTTACATTGCCAGTCCATCTGTCTATGACGTTTGTGAATCTTTCTCTATTTCTCTCTCCCTCTTTCTCTGTCACACAAACACCCGCACTCACACGCAGACACAAAGACACCGTGACCTAAAAATCAAAGTAAAGCTCAGCAAAGAGTAAGAAGAGTTAGCAGCAAGTGCTCTAAGAGACCTGCTGGGTAAGTTCAATCCATTCTCATATTTCTTTTTTTTACCTGCCTCTTCGATGTTTCTCATCTGTATCAAAATGGAACATTAATAATTGAAGAGTTCCCATTGCAAGATATTATCACTAATAATGAGCTGTGGGTAAAACAGACCCTTCTCTTCCAAAGGACAGGCTCTAACTTTGCTTATGGTTGACTATTTGAAATAAAAGCAAAAGATCGGTGCCCAACCCCGCCCCCCCGAAAAAAAAGTCTAATTAGTGTTCGTCTATTGGAGAGGAAGCTGAGCAAGCCGCTCCACCACTGCCAAATGAAATTAAGGCCCAATTATTGATAAATGAAGAGTGGTTTGTGCTGGAGCCTGGCCTGGAGTCGCGGAAATACATCTGTCATTTGGCCTGTATAGGAGTCATTCATGTGTGACATAGCATCCTGTGCATTTATCATGCATCTGTAGATTTTTGTTTTAATTCAGTTAGCTGTCTAACTAGATTCGGTGCTGGGTGCCTCGAATGGAGTCAGGATTTGGACTGACAGATGCAATTCTAGTCTGAAATGGTGTGTGGCAGGACTAGCTATCCCGCATATTAATTATTATTGAAACCATTATAGACAGTGCTTCTCCACTAATGGTCGATTCCGTTATCTGTTCTGTGGCTTCTCCCGTTAACAATTGCCCAGTTTGCTCCAGGGCAGGTAGGAGACACACTGGATCAATGGACCATTGTTGTTAAGTGCACCGACTATTACCATGAAAATTAGAATGCACGTGCTTGAAAGACAAGAATGAAAATGCCCCTGTCTTACCATTATGCAAATTACCCATTCTCTAAATGAGATAAGTGGGGGGAGAAACACTTTTCATAAATCTTAACTAGGTAAAAGGGTTTATTAAGTCCATTGTCAAAAACGAATTGAAAACAAACATTTGTTAAGTTGATAAAAAAAAAAAAAAAAGAAATGTCTGCAGGGCTATTCCCAACCTAGCTTTGCACACAAAGCTTAGTTGGGTAGCACGCTAAGGTTTAATTTAAAGTTCCTGTCGTTTTATCACTCCATTGTATAAAATATTGAAAACAACTGTCACCTTCAAAAAGAAGCCACTAATGCAATTTTTGTCCCAAGTTCTGAGAAAATATTGTGTTGGGAGGACTTTAATAAGACCAACTCACAGGGCAACTGTCTTGCCTCAACCTCTGTGGCTTCCTTCATTATTTGCATGTTTCACGCCTATCCTGGTCACATGCCCACCCGCCTCGCCTTCTTATTTCAATCAGCTAATGACCTTTGGTAAGCCCTGCAAAAAACATTCCAGACACAGAGGACTGATCGAAGCAAATGTTGCAGAAATGTACAGTGTTTCTTGCCATTTGCTTATCAACCTCATGTGATATGAACTGTGTGATTATAAACTGTGTGAGTTCTGTCGCAGGCACAGATCGAATTACACATTTCCGTTTCGTAAAGAATTTGTAGAGTTGCTGAGGACTGTAATAAAGCAAAAGACAAGATGGTAATACAATGAAATGTAATATTTTCTGTTAAATAGAAAATTAATGAGAGAGGGAAAGTAATAATGATGAATTTGCATCTTTTCAAAGATTCATATTTGTTAAAGGACATTTCATATTGGTATTTCAGGGCCAAAGAAGCTTGTGCTTTCCTAAACAATTAAAAATTTGCATCTTAGAAGAAATGCTTTTTCATCTCCTGATGTTGGAAAATGAGGTGCTTCAAAAGAACCGAACTTCAATTTAAAAGTGCAATAGCTTGATTATGATATTGGGTTGCAAGATTTTCGTTGTTAAAGATCATTTTGAATAAAAGAGCAAGTTAGAAAGCAAAGATATATCTCAGTATAAATAGATCTTAAAATATGAATAGTCATAATATTCAGGAAATATAAGTAAATTTTGACTTTACAGTTTGGAAGCTATTATCATTTTTTTTGTGTGATTAGCTACTCCAATTTACAATGTTTGCCTCACTGCTTTATTTCTCTCAATAGGTTTTTTTTTTTTATAAGACTCCAAAAGCTTAATTATGGCTTATGCAAATATCATTTGAGGGAAAAGAGGGTAATATTAAATCTTTGAAAGCATTATTAGGTTAAATGCTAGGAAAGTCATTGTAGGTATTAAATGGCATTCAGAGAAAAAATGGAGCTGAGGTAGGAAGGCCCCTTGGAGAGGTTTCTCATGCCTTTCTTAAAGCCATCTACCTGGATCAGTTTTTCCCAAAGTTTGATCAAAGGTGAGTCTTGTAGAAAGCTGGAGAAAGAAAGACTTTTTGCTTCTGCATTATGTACAGATTGGAAGCCAAACTAAGTCCAAATGACGCTGGAACTGCTAAAAATGAATCCATGAAGCATGCAGGTACTTTTTTCCAGACATGATGCAAAACCTCTTTATTTTTTTAAGATTTTATTTATTTATTTGAGAGAGACACGGGGGTGGGGGTGAGTTGTAGAGGGAGAAGAAGAAGCAGACTCCCCACTGAGCAGGGACCCCCCCCGCCCCCGTGGGGCTCGATCCCGGGACCCTGGGATCATAACCTGAGCCGAAGGCAGACGCTTAACTGTCTGAGCCACCCAGGTGCCCCGCGAAACCTCTCCTTATTTCTTTATCGAATGACCTAAATTTTTCCTACATTGGTTGGAATCACCAATAGTGTGTAAATCCTACAAAAAAAAAAAAATACACAGGCCAATTAGAGTAACAGTCTTGTTGAAGCGGCCAAATTAAATGTTTTACCTAAGAAGACATGAAGTGTCAGCCACTTATCAGCCTCTTACTTTTAAAGTACCCGTAGCCTACCGAGCACAGAGCTTCGAGAGTGAAGAATGCTTAATATCATGAAGTTATTAGCAAATGATCAAAGTAAAAATAATGGTTGAGAAATATGAGAGTGAAATGACAGGTGGAAAATGGGACAGACACACAAGAGAGTAGATGGAATCCTGCGGTTCCGGTGTTTCCCCAGCTGTGGCACTTCGGACCACTGCTAGTTTCTGAGCACCCACTAGGCTGCTGCTGAAAGAGACAAAAGAAAGTGTCAGGGAGGAAAACCTTTCCTCGACCCTCTTAGGTTATATCTGGGGGCCTGTGAATTAAACTAACAAAAGATTATTAGGAGAAAAGGCACCACATTTCTATTAATATTTCTGTGCCTGGGAGTTCACGGAAAGTAATGATTTAGACTCAGGGGCGTATGAATCCTTCTTCACAAAGGACTAGGGGTTCGGGTTCAAGGGCTAACAAATTTCCGGGAAGTGACTAGGAACTATCTAGGGGAGCTAATGGAAGGTAAGGGCTATTTTAGTGAGGTCTGTTCATGCAAACTCATCTTGGTGTTGACTCCCCATCTTCAGTGGTGAGTCTCTCTTTTCCCTTTGGTGCTTGGGGTGTGGGGGCATCGTCTTCAAAGGGAAATTCATACCCTGCATTTAGGAGGGAGAAGGGGAAGGCAGAGAATTTTTCCTCAATTGCCTTCAGCTCAAAATAATCCTTATGCCAAAGTGGCATATTATGGGGTGGCATATTCTGATCTCCTTCAAAAGGTAACGTTGTGTTTTTAAGACTACTGGATAAATTCCTTAATTACATAGGCTGACTTTTATTCTAAGATTTTCTTTCCTCATTTTCAGCTTTTAAAATAACCCTTCTTTCATGAAAAGATGTCTGTAACCAGTGGCATTTTTTTTTCCTGTCTAATGCCTTTACTTGGCAAAATAAAACCTTAGTGACTCAGTGTCATTCTGTCAAATTTTTCTTCTTTATTTTTTATTTCAGTGGTCCCCAATTTCTCAATCCTTTGGAAACAGTGCTCTATGGCACTGTCTCTAGAGGAAATGTTAATGATGGTCATCCTTTATTGAGTCCCTGCTATGCCTCAAACAATATTCAGGGAGTTGCACATATATTCTAACACTAACACTGATCGTTAAGAGGTAGACAGGGTTGTGCTGGTTTATTAAATGAGGGAGGCAAGGCTGATGGCAGTGAAGTTGCTTGCCTAATGTGGCATGACCCTAGGGTGACCTAATCATCTGTCATTTCAACAGGACACCCTTTAAAGTCCAGTTACACCAGGACATCCAGTATAAACGAGGGTCTTTCCAGGACAGCGCAACACATGGGGTCACCCGGCAGATCCTCTTTGTAGGCCAGGATTTAAATCGATGTGTATCCGATGCCCAGGCATGCTCCTGTGACTGTTTAGGCTGCCTCTGAAAGTTTTACAAAAATCAGGATATCAGTGTTGGAGAAATGGGGTTCAGCAAACTGCATGACACCAGGGTATACAAAATACTAATTCATTTAGTACTCATAGGATTATTTGTATCCCAGGACACCTGCTTCCAATGGTGATTTCACAAGTGATTGGAGAATGAGAAGGAGATCCTGTGTAGAGGACACAAGGCTGTACAGAATTATGTTAGTGCCTGCTCTTCCGAGAGGAATAAATTTTCCACCCTTGGAGGTTAAACGACTGTAGCGGTTTGTGGACTCTGACTTCAGCTCATGGTGCACGCAGGACAAAGATAGGGATAGATGGCCCAGGTGTCACTTACCACAGCTGAGCAAGGCACCCCCGAGATGGTTCTGGGGCTGTTTGAGCCTAACCCTCTGGGAGGGAGACAGAAGTTGGCCAGTTATTTGCCTCAAAAGGAGAGCCTGAGCGTATACAGTGGTTGGTGCTGTGTGCTTAACTTTCCCTCTATTATCTGCGGGATTGCAGGCAAGAGCTGCGTGTCTCAGACAGATCGAGGTGATGAGGGGCTGGGGCTCAGCCACACAGTCGAGACAATGCGCCCTCGCTCTCCGTGTCCCCGATGTTGTACTGAATGGGTGCGGTTCAACATCGAGGTCAGCGCCCGGCTCTCCCACCTGCACTGTGACCTGCACCTTTTTAATTTTTAGAGAAAAGTTCCTCCCTTGCGAGAGAGGGCTTTCTGTCGGTGAAAGAATATGTAAAATAGCACCAGGTGAAGGACGACTTTTTCACCCAGTCTCGAAACCATCACAAAGAGACAAATTTTGCTACTTTTGCTTCGTGTGTGAATTTTTGTCCACACAGCTCTATTCATTGCCTGAGACAATGGGGCCAGTGTTGGCCAGCAAAGAATGGTGCTATTCACGCACCCCGTACCCTGCACAGTGCCTACACTTGTTAGTCTTGGCCGCCCTGCGCTGCTGGTTGCTGGCAAGAGAATCGGGTCTATGTCGTTGGATGGAGCAGGGGCAGATCCGGGGATGGACGTGGGCAGCCAGATTCCCAGATAACTTCAGCTCCTCTAGAAAACTCTTGTTGACATAAGCCTGTGCTTTAAGGGGTGTCTGGAATTCCAAGAACTTGGGCCAGGTGTGCGGGCAGGTGCTTGGGCTTCCGTTCTAGCCTCCCCACTCCCACCCCCCCCCACCCCCACTGCAATCAAATGCAGCTACAGTAGAGCTTAAATGCCTGGTTTAGGGAGGAGACAATGAGATGTGAATTCTGGCTCCAGAGCTGACTCATCGTAGGCACTTGGACAAGTCTCTTCACCTCTCTGAATCTCCACTCCTTCCTCTGCAGAAAGGGGATATCAGTGCTACCTCCTTCCTGGGGATCCTGTGAAATTCCATGACGGAGTATTATGTTATGATTAGCATGGGAAAATGTTAGCTATTATTGTCATTAGCAAAAGGCTGATGTTGTGATTATTGTCATTAATGAAAGACTGGTTTAGGGCAATCTCTCGGTACAAAGTTAAATGCTATGAAACCGTGGGTAACATCACTGTAGTGATGGGTGGGTGGAGGAGGGAGAGAGAAGACAAGTGTCAGAGCTCTGTTCACAGTAGCGGAGCCGGAGAGTGTTTTACACAGGGAAGAAAATGTACTCTGACAGAGGCCACTCCATTTCTCTGAAGGACGGAAGAGAAAACTGATTTGCTTTCATATGGTGTTATCCCGGGAGGGTGGTTCTGCTAATGTATGCTGGAGATGGTCTTGAAATCCTCTGCTCTATCTCTTCAACCTAGAGTGAGTGCAGCCCCAAACCTGGACCCTGTCCTTAATGTTCTTTTTCTTAAGTGAGATGAAATCTTCTAGCTCTTGTTTGACATCCGTGGGGGAGCAAACCACTAAATGCATGCAGCCTCGTGGAAAACTTAGACACTGGTAGATTCTGAGGTCACCAAGGGCAGGAAGCCTGCTTATCCTTTCCTAGAACTACCCCAGTGCAGAGCGTAGCCTACTGCAGGAATTGAAATGTGTTGTCGGGATCCGTGCAGCAAATCAGGGGAAGTCGAAGATGGATGGAGGGCTGGAGAGAGAGTCTTTCAAGTTCCTTCCAACCCAAGATGTTGTGTTTTTTGAAGTCTTCCCTCTCAATAAACGTTCTTTAGCTATGTTGTGTCTTCTGTGAAGTTGCCACCATGAAAGCCATACACATTTGGCACCAATTTGCTTAGCACGGCTTATATATCAGTACACTTGTTAGAGGATCGGTACCTTAGATTCTGTTAATGTACTATATGAAGCATAAAGAATCCTAATCATCAGGGCCACTTTCTACCGTTACATATATTACAGAGTAAAGATAATGTACTCTTGGTGCTTTTAGACATCTTAACCAGTAGTCCTGTGAACAGCAGACTTCACTTGGTGTAATCACGTAATTAGAAGACATTATTGCAGTTCATAAATGGAATTAATTAAAATTTTAATTAAATTTTCAAAAGATAATTTAATAAAAGTAGGATTGATTAGAAAATTATCAATGAATTTACAGATTCATTTGAGACATTTATCTCTGTCACTTTTAAATTTCATTGAAATCTGTTAAAAGTTAGAGTAGGTATGTCCACAGTAACATTTAAATAGTCACCATGTTGTTTCAAGAGGCAAATAGTTTCTAAGGTATATCTTACTATCTTTCATTGAAGAGTGGCCTTTATCAGTCAATTCCATTGAACATTATCCTGAAACAAATTGACAGAAAGATGTGAACTATCCATGTTCATTCTGAAACCAAAATGTTGTTAATTTTTTTGAAAACATAAGTAAGGATTTCAGAAAATAAAATGTATGTCTGAGGCAATTTTACTGATGGCCTACTTGAGTGGTTGTCATACAGTTGACATAGAACAATCACAAATTCTAGCAGAAGATGGACGTTAAGTCTAAAATTTGTAAAAAACATAAAAGCACGGCTCTAGCACTGGCCAGAAAGCAGGAGATCTAGTATACATGCCAGAAGGTGTGGTTAACAGTATTTACGTTAGACCCACTTTAACTGCAATAGAAAAACAGGCACAGTTTTTCATAGTGTTTTGATTAGTTTTATTTATCAATGAAAATGATGTCAAAGAGGGCCTGAAAGTTATGCATTCTTCCACTTACTCATTTGTTCAGCCAACAAACACAAAGCTAGTCTCTCTATTAAAGTGTTGGCCAGAGTCATAAAATAGAGTGATATAGTCAGCAAACCCATCTGACTCTACCCTCAAAGTAAGTCCAGAATCCATTCACTTCTCACCACCTCTGAAGTGGATATTCTACTGAAACCACTATCCTTTTTTCCACTTAAACAATTGCATTAGCTTCTTGATTAGCCTCCCTGTTTCTGTTACAACAAAGCCATCAGCTGTAGTCTTCTGAAATGTAAGCAAGATCATTCAAAACCTTCCAGTGGCATCAAACCTCACTCGTAATAATTCCCAGAGTCTTTTCAGTGGCCCCCAAATTTTGTCTTGCCTGGCTTCTTCTCTGACCCCATTGCCTGCTCTCCCCCATCACTCATTTCTCCCCAAACACAAAGCATTAAAATTTTAATTAATTAGCGTATTATTTTTTAATGGACACAAACACAAAGCATGCATCGCTGACCATACACCCATGGCTTGTTTCCTTATCTCACTCACCTCTCTGGCCAGGTTGACAGCCCACCCTGTTTCCTTCAGGTGCTAATCCTTGTATCATTCACCATCTCCTCACCAGGCTATATTTTTCTGCATAGCGTCAACCTGCAGTGCGTCTCATTCACACTGGCTATTGTTCATTTTCTCTCTCTGCCCCTCCCTGGAAAGACAGATGGGAAACAATTCCAGTACAGCGTGGTGGGGTTATGATAGGACAAGCAGAGAGAGCAGTGACTATAGCAAGAACTTTGTGGTTTTCTTAAGAAAGCGCTATTAGTTGAGGACTGAAGGATGAATAGAGAGAAGACAGAGAGTCCCAAGAAGGGGCAACAATGTGTTTATTCTACTTACTGAGTTAGTTAATTTATCTCCAGTCATGTCTTCTTGTCCTTGTCGTTTTAATTCCTGCGGATGTGACATCAGCTTCTGGCAGTAATTTAGATTAGGTAATCTGAAGAAGTTGTTGTCCAATATTTAGTTTCACCTTCTTTTTATATCGTACCAAGTTATTCAGAAAGATAGACAGAATATTTATAAACATGTCTCTAAATACACAGCTGGGTCCTGAAAGTAGTCAGGAGAGGGAGAGCATTCTCAGTCCAAACAAGAAGCACTAAAGAAGTGAGCTTGACATCATCATTGTCCTGGGGTGGGGGGTTGTTGCAAGTGAGCGCCCCACCCACGATTATGGAAACTGGAAGAGATGATCCATGACGAATGGTAGCTAGCAGACACATAAACCAAAGGATTAAACCTGAAGAACTTCAAGTAATAGATTATAGAGGTAGACTATAAAATAATATGCTAAAAACAATTAAGGAAAGAAATGAACACGTCAGAAAAGCATAAAACAGTATGAGTAAGGAATGGCAAGCTTTGAAAAAAACTAATGTAAATTTCTAAAGTTGAAATATATAAATACTGAAGTGAAAAACACACCAAATAGTTGAGCCAAGAGATTGCTAAAATGTAGCACAGAGAGATTAAGACAAAGAAAATGTTTAAAAGAGGTTAAGACACACTGAGGAGAGAAAGAGTCCTCTAATGATTAGAGTAGCAGAGGGAGAGAACAGAATGGGGGCAGATAAAGCATGTGAAGAAGTAAGGCCCGGAATCTTCCAGATTTGATGGAAGATATGAAACGTCGGGCTCAGGGGGGTCCAAGTGGGATTAGACAAATACATCAACCCATCTTTTAGAAATGCCAAAGACTAGCAAAAAATCTTAAGGGTGATATAAATATGTGAGTTTATATAAACAAACCAGTGTAAAACAGCAACACTATATAATACACAAAGCATGCATCATTAATAAAAGAAGACAACAACAACAATAATAATAATTATGAATAATTTGGTAGGAGATAAAAATAAGGTGAAACTAAATATTGGACAAAATAACAGGTAAGGTGGGACAGGTGATCAGAAGTGTTCTAAGGCTCTAGCTGTATTAGAGCAGAATAGAAAGATCAGTTAACTTTAGACCCTATTAGATCGGGACCCATATTAAAAATTTAAGATAATAACTAAAATAATAGAAATAGAATATATGTCTTCCAAACCAGTAGAAGAAAATGTGAGAATAAGGGAAACTAAGTCACTTCAAGAAAAATTGGAAAGGGAGAAAAAAAAAAAGAATCTTAGAACAAGTATGGTAAGAAAGCAAAAATCAGATGGAAAAATTGAAATACCTGTGCAATTATAATAAATCTAAACTGACTAAAATGATACCAGCAGTGGTAGCAAAAATATAACTCATCTGTAAAATTAAGGCGACAGCTAGATTCAATAGTCACCTCATGTATGAATTAGAAGGTCCCTGACAGCTGTAACATCTGTGATTAGATATAATAGATGTACAGATATAGCTATTAGAGTGGTATAATAGATACATAGATACACATATTTCCATATAGATTCTGATTTTTTGTATATAAATTTATAGATGTTATGAATACATATTATATTCATACTTGTATCTATATCTACCTGTCTGTTCATCTATCTATTATATTTCACTTAAGCAAGCACTAGACTCCATTTCCCAGTGTGGGAAATAAACGTGGCCTGAGGGTATTGGTCAACAGAAAGGCAAATGAGCCCAGGAGGGAAGGGGCTCAGCAAAGTCGAGGGTGCTCAGTATAAAATCCAGGATTTGAGGCAGTGACCAGCAGTACAGCATCTTAGGGCTGCATGTTTTAAGAACCGTAAGGATAGGGAGATGAGTCAAAATCAAAGTAAAATAAATAGAGAAATAAGTAAATAAGTGTCTGTAGAAGAGGCAGGAGTTTCAACTTCAGAAGAGCCTCGGGTAAGAACAAGTATAAACGGCGCCCTATATCTCTCCAATCTGGAGACGTCTTGGAAATACTTTGAAATCTGTTCTCCCAGGTTTGTTTTTCTTCTCCATCACACCTCACAAGGAACACAGAGAGTGATGTCCTGTCACTTTGATGCATCTCTCTACTCAAATGGCAGAAACCAACCAGGTGAGTTGTCATAACTTAGATGAGGCTGGGATAAAAATACACCTTGGAGAGCTTGCTTTCTGATGACAGACTGAGAGTAGCTCTTTTTGATTTGAGTGATTTGGAGCTTAAATTCAGTGCCAACCCATATGAGTGTCTCAGGGCTCAGGGTTAGGAAAGAGATTATACCAGGAGTAGAAAGTCTTTTGTCTGTCTTCTTGAGAATTGTCTTTGACTGATAGATGGGTGACTCTGTCCAGCATCCTGATTTAAAATTGTCAGTGAAAACAAACAGTTGATTTTTTTTTTTGAATTCAGTATTCACTTCTGGATTTACCTTTAAAAGCAGCTCAACCACTGCAGGGTTAAGCATCCTAATTAATTACACTGCCTGAGACTACATCTATTCCGTGCATCCACTTTAATCATTTTGTTTCATGAAAAGCAAAAACGCCTTCCGTGCAGTTTCAAAACAACAATTTTAAAATCCTTAACCCTAAATCTCAAATCTTGGCCTTCAGTTGGAGTAATTTGTATGTACTAGTTCGCAGGGTGGGTCTCCCAAGTGACTCAAAGAGGGGTTCAACAAGCAATGGAGGCGCGCATTGAGACAGCCAACGGAAACGCAAAGATACCTCCCACCATGGCTGCAAAGGGGCTCGTAGTGAAGTGAGCGTCCATTGGGTCGAGGGTGCTTGTGGTTGTTAGCAAAGTGGAAGGATGGCTTTTTTTCACCCTTTCACCTTACTATCTTTTGGTAATAATGACCTTCAGCTCGTCACAGTTCTTGGCTGTTCATGGCTGGCAGGTGTCGTGTTCTGCTCCGGTGATATGCTTGCCTGGTTTTATAAATGTTTTACAAAATCACCCCTGGATTGCAGGGTATCGGTGCAATATGATTGCTTGTTTTTGATTTTTAACAAAGCAGCTATTTCATTTTTTTTATAGCCTTCTCTCACTCCAAGACCAAGGGATGAGTCTATGGGATTGATTCTAAAGTAGCTGTGAGTGACTTAAAATCATTTCTTCCTGCAGTTATGAAACGTTTTAATTTTTAGTGGAGTCTAATGTATTGTTCTGATCTCATTCTTACCTTAGAATCAATGATTTCCATGGAGACCTTCAGTCTCCCATGAGGGTAATCTCGCTCAACATTTTACCATATATGTACAATCATAACTGAATCCCAGTTTAGGTTCAAGGGAAGACTTCAAAACACTAATGTAAATACTCATGCAGGCCTACTCTGTGCTGGACACTTGCCATTTCATGTAGTCCTCACGTGACCAGTTTTTCAGGAGAACATCACAGAATGCTCACATTCAAATTCAGATGCAAGGACCCAGAAGCCTAAGCACTGTCTTTACACTTTGTGGATAGCCTCTTCTTCTTCCTGGATGAGGCTCTCAAAGGATTGGGAGGCAGGGAGATAGTAAGACCACATCTTCCATGCTTGCTGAAATATCTTTGCATTTTGGAGCAATAAGTTGGACATTAGCACGTCTAGTCATGGAACTTTTCCAGAAGCTTGGGAGCTTGTGGGGTTCTTGGGGGTATCAGGCACTGAGAGAGGACAAGATGGGTTCAGAGTTGAAACACTGAGGCTAACTGCTTTGGACTTGCTTCAGGATGTAGGGCTTCAGGGAGGAAAGTTGAAACCGCTCAACACTTCATTTTTTTTTTTCCTGTATTTCCTCTGTTTTAGTCTTGTCCATCTTTAATCTATTTTTACATAGCTTTCAGAGTTACTCTTTTTAAAAACAAACCTAGTCGTGTAATTTTCCTGCTTACATTTTTTTAGATAACTTCTTATTGGACTAATATAAAATAAGCCATTTTAATGTGAACAGTGACATTCAGCACATTCACGGTGTTGTACAACCATCACCTCCTTCCAGTTCCAAAGCTCTTTCATTTTCTAAAGGGAAACCCCAGTGCGTTAAACAGTCACGCTACTCAGCTCCTGGCAACTGCTAATCTGCTCTCTGTCTCCATGGATTTACCTAATCTGGATATTTCATATAAATGAAAGCATATACTCTGCAACATTTTGTATCTGGCTTCTTTCACTTGGCATAATGTTTACAAGGTTTGTCCACATCATAGCATATTATCAGCACTTCATTTCTTGCCATAGCTGAGTAATATTCCATTGTGTGGATATATCACATATTGTTTAGCCTTTCATCCCTGGATGGATATTTGGATTGCTTCCACCTTTTGGCTATTATGCACCTTTTGTCTTTACCCATTCTATGCTTTCCCATTCTAACTTGGAGTTACCTAAGTGAGCCAAATTCTGGAAGAATCTGGGAGGTGGTGAATGCTATCTTTGAACAGCCCTCAAAACTTTAGTGCTTAGCGATGTGTTTCCAGGCTGGTACCTTTCTGTAAAAGCCAAGCTAAAGAGTTGGGGGTTCAAGAATAACTTCTGCGTATACTTGATTCTTATTGTTTTTATGCTACTGCATAATGGTCCCAAGAGGTGAAGTGATTATTACCATTCATTCCATAGACTTTGCCTCCAGGGAGTGAGGCTAGGCATGAGGATGGTCGGTTAAACCTGGCCTGAAGAGACCTGCCACACTATCGTATATATAAATGTTTTATTCTGGACAATTTCAAACATGCATAAAAA